ATGATAACTAATTATAAATCATATCACGTAGGTATATCAATTAATTTATCAACTAACCCAATTATCATATTATATGTTTTAATTTTACTGAATAGTGGAAGATTTACAAGTACTATATAGTATACATTTTATTTCAAGTTTTAATGTTGTCTTATTATGTATTAACTTGAGACGCAACTAATTATCAACACATTTTAATATGCTATCAAAACATACTGTTATTTACATATAGTAACACCCAAAGTTATATACATATATTTAATATTATACTATGTTATAATTATAAATAACGTTTTATCGATTTAGTCGTAGATCTGTAAAGAGAACAATCGACGACTGTTGTCTCGTCATGATATTTATTAATTCATTTTTACTTAAAACATCACATTGTGTATCATAAATTAATAATAATAAATTATGATCATGTTATATAATTTCTTAAAAATTCATATCTAACCATCAAACTTTGTTTAAATTCGTATAGACGTCCTATTTATTTTCAAAAACTATCTCAAGGAATTGACGTATTCGGTTCAAAAAAAAAAAAAGTTAGTAAAAGACATATTAGTATTAAAATTAATAATGATTTAATATCTCCTTTAATATTTGTCTAGTTAATTATAGAATAAAATACTCATGGTTACGATTCTCGTAGAATAATAGACAGCAAAACGAAATGTTAGTATCAGTAAAAATATGACAGTTTATAATATCGTGTGCTAACTGCTAATGTTACACGTGGAGATGTAGGTTATATATATGTATATTATGTACATACTAAGCTTATTAAACGTTTACTGAATTAGCGAATTCTAAGAGACCTTGTACTAGACGATACATGCATATTGTATATATATGTAGGCGTGTGCTTAGTATATGTATACATTCAATAATATATGTACTGTACGTGCATGGCCAGTTTTGCAGAACAAGAACGATCATCAACACAACCAATGACGACCTTGCCGACTTTCATAATGTAAAATATACAAGTCCGGACTAGAGGGAATATTTTTGTAAAGAAATATAACAATATTTTTTTGAAAAATTAGTCGTTTATTTTAAGTATTCTATGTAATTAATAATTAAGATAGGTATGTAAAATAATATATATTTAATATTAATATGCTATGAGTATGCTATTAACTATCTAAATTCTGATCTAATTCTAATATATTTCAATAAATAGAAGTTTGTAAAGTTAAAAATTTAGTTGAAGAAATGTCCTACATAATATTATTAATCTATAAAGGAAACTTTATATAGGCTAAAGAGTGAAGACCTACTGTGCACTGTGACAGGCTGAAGGTTAATGTCCTTTATACAGAAAACAGAATACTGATAAGAGTATCTATATTAAATATAGATTTTGTGGAATTTTTGAGATTTAGAAAAAAATCTGTTAAATTTAGTAATAATATTAGTAACATTCTAATCATTTGTATTTTCTAATAATTTACTATTCGATAACTTTAAAAACTGTATTTTGTAGTTTTGTAAGTAATTATTAAATTTCAAATTTTTTTTTTGAATTAAAACTTATGATTTTAATCTAATTTTAATTCATTTTAGAAATATTTACAATTTGAAAAATTATAATCTTTTTACAATCTAACCGTGAAAAAATAATCAATTCAAATTATATTAACACCCTGAAATTTTAGTAAATATGTAAATATTTTACGTTATATTTATTATCTTTCGACTTTTTTAGAATTATTATTATTTTGTTTGTATACACTAAACATACATTTGTTGGTTTTATTTATGCTCCTGATCACATGTTAAGTACTTTATCAGTACTTTGTTTTCAAATCATTAAAATTACATATAGCTCTAATTATTAAGTATTTGTCTTTAACTATTAAAAACAATAATAGTCAGTTAATGAAATTAAATAATCTAAGCTCTTGTTTTTCAAAATTAATGATTTATCTTGCTTTAAAATATAATGTACTAATAGTATCACTACTTAATAAAACAAATACACAATCCTTAATAGTATTTAGTAAGTGAAACAAAAAGAATATTCTCCAAAAATGAAATGTTTACCTTAATCTCTAACTAAAGATTTATCATGTAGGCAATATGTATTAATTGTAAGTTAAGTTGTATAAATAAGAAATATGTAGTAAATTGGGCTAATAATGAATATGTAATCATAGATAATCTCTAGTTGTTTATATATTATCTGTAAATACATAAGTGTAAACTGAAATATATACCTATTATAATTAGTATATTTTTAATAAACTATAATAAGACAATTCTATTTGTTACTTAGATAAATATGTACTAAAATAATACCAATATAATATATTTAGTCATATCTACCCAATAACACCTATATCAGAAATACTTTTAACAATAAAATATATAGTTATGTAGGGGAGGCCCTGTATATTAATATATATGTATATATATAAGTAAATGTAAATAGATAAGTAAATATTTGGGAAAACTAAGTTAAATACCTATTTATTATTATATTTTAAACAAAACTGCAAGTTTTTAAAAATTATAAATTGTTATTATAATCATTTATAAACAAAAAATATAGATTGATTAGGGGTTAGTAAGTTCAAAGTTGTTAAGCGAGTTGTTTAATTTGTAGGCCATTTTAATATATTTGTCAAAAAAAAAAAAAAATATAAATTACATTTTTAAAATAGTGATTAGAGGTTTTATAGTAATATATAATATAATATACAAATCAAAGATATTCAGAGGTCTGAAGTTAATAATATTTAACTAAATATTTATTTTTTTAACTATTTCCTTGATTATAAACATAACATGGTAAAAACAATAAATAGGTACTAAAGAACATAATATGTTAGATGAATAATGTTTCAATTATAGCTACAATATCCATGTCAAAATCCTTGATACAATGCACTTGATATTTTCCTACAGCAAAATCTTATATGATCATCTTACTTAGCTTGTAGACTACCATTTATGGTTTATAAAAACAGATGTTTTGGTACTTGCTATTTTTATACATTCTTAGAATAGCTATCATAAATTAAAACTAGTGGATTATTTATCATAATTTTATCTGAGTTTATCTGACTTGCGATCATTGTTTAATTTGAGATTCAATAATTATTATTAGGACTTAGGTAGATATTTTACAAGCAACTAGGTACTCAGCTAGATATATAGAAAATTTCAATATTACATTTTTTTTCAGTATTAATCATAATAATACCTTAAGTGAAATATTTAATATTTAAGAAAAAAATGATTAATAAACAATACCAATACAAAATATAAAACAATAGGTATTATTCCCGGTATTATTTAACTTTTTAACTTGATATTGAATTTTAAATATATACTATACAGTCTAGTATGTAGTAACTTTGATTTTTAGTAATCATTTAAGAATTCTGTTGGACAAGTATGCAGTTAATAATTTAATGTCAAGTTTCATACAAAAATACTAGGTACCTATACATTTAATGAATTAATAGTGAACTAATGATCTCTTGAATTATATCGCTGTAGTAGTTCATGATTGGTTCTAGAATGGATCTATTAAATTTTAGTGAATCATTAAATTAAATAAACTTGGCATTATAGGGGTAAATTATTACATAAATAACATGAGAACTTATTAAAGATACATAGATAATTATTGTTGATAATTTTGGGACTAAATCAATTGTTGTTAATACTTGATGCACAATACTAACATCATTTTAATATCGATTCTAATCATGATGATCAATGACTATAAACAAAATTATAGCTTAAAAAAATAAGGAAAAAATTAATAATAACTTAGTGGCTTGAAATGAGAGAGGATAGTAAACCATATAGATTGTATTACAGGATTTTTAAAAATATCAACTTATTTTAGATTAAGTAACTTCAGAATAGATTTAAGGAAAGGTATAAATATTAAAATATAAATTACGAGATAAATTCTTTCTAATTAAGAATAGTGACATACAATATTCATTAATATGGAACTATGGAACTATGGAATTATTCTGACTTAAAATGTAAAACTATCTACTAAAATAAATAACAAAACAATTTTTACTTATAAATCAACCTACTTAGTTCCTAGTAATATTATAATAAGTAGAGAACATACATGCTTCACAAAAATAAAATCACATTTCCCATCATTTTAGATTTATCATTAATCATTCATGTAAAAAAAATATGGTCAATGAAAAAACACGGAGTAAAAATAACTACTTCAGAATAAAAACAAGAAAATATTAACTATAGTTATCATATTAGCTTCTACCTAAATTATAAAATACATTATATACACTACCTATCCAAGACACTGCCTATAATAACCACGCTATAAAAATTATTAAAATAATAATGTTCACATTAATGGTCATCATCTATCATGTTTATGATTAATGTAAACCATATCTATATATTATTATATCTATTCAATAAATTATTTTATTACCTAATTGTTATAATTTGTGGTAAATTATAATAATTATAATTGCTAATAGTTTACAGATATATGTTTGAAGAATATGCTACTGCAGGATGAGTTATCAATTAACATTTTGAAAATGCATTATAACGATTACATAGATAATTAATATTTAACAGTGCATCTTACCTATTGGACTGAAAGGTACACATAATTTTGCCTACTTACCTACCTATAATATATAATATTATTATTTATTATATTCCAACAAAAGAAATCTTAGTGGACGGTCTTCTTTAGATCTTATCCTGATCACTTAAACTACTAAAGGACAGTTATAGGCACAATATACAACTGTATATCAGTAAATTAAATTTTGTTTGTCGACTCAACATTGGAAACGTTAAAAAAGTTACATAGATTTTGGCAGTTACCCACTGGATTGACAAAAAAAGAATACAAACGTCTGGAATGGTCTTAACCTAACGGTATCAAATATACGTAGGTAAACCAATATTAACACAGACGCTATTGTTCTAGAGCTATTACGGTTATACCAGTTGTTAAGTACTGCGAGACTCACCTTTCCAGTGGCTTTCTTGTAACGAGTGATGGCCTGATGAATTAGGTCTCTGACCAATATTTCTCCTCGTCCGCAGGGGACGATGACCCTAGTTGAACCGAAGCAGACGGTGACTTTCATCGTACCGCAGTCGCATCACCAGCGTCTCGAGCACGGCAACAGTGCGATGCGACGTTCTAATCGAACCGACAGACGACATCGCCTGGTCGAGTGGCTCGTCGATGAGCCACCACAGTGGGACTCGACATCGGTGGCGGGTACGGGGTGTACCTTGTATCTGGGAGAACAGTCGTCAGAGCAGAAGCAGCGGGTCGTCGTTTTCACGTCGTCAATGGCCACCGTCTTGTGTAAGCGACTTGAACATCGGGACCGGCGGACACAGGTGCCAAATATTATTTAATTATGAATACGATGAATTACGATAAACGGACGATAAATGATAATGGAAACGACGGCGCGCTCGGACCCAACGGACTCGGCCGGCGCGTTCAACCGGCTACGCGAACAAACGATGTGGTTAACGTTACCGTGTACGGACACGATGGTTCGGACGTATCGTTAACCGTAGGAAACGAGCGGGCAATCGACGGACGACAGAGTAAAAAAACGGTCGAAAAAAAGCGAACGGAGTAAACGGTCAAACGGCAACGGCGGCGGATATCATCAGCGTACGGACGGCCGTAGTAAACAAAGACCCATCCGGTGCGCACTGTGCAGACGACGCGTGTGTGCCTGTGCGTGTGTGTGCGGACGGCGGCGGCCCCGGTGGTGGGTTCGTGGAAGGGGGAAAACCGTCGCAGATAAAATTACGAGGGAACCGCCGCCGCGCCACTAGCTCGCCTCTAAAACCGTTCGCACTGTTTTCCGTTGGGTCGGAAGCGCGGCGGCGGCGGCGGCGGCAGCCGTTTCTGGTGATCCGAAGCGGCCCGCCGCCGACAAAACCGGTTTATTCACGAGTGCTGCACCGCGCTGCAGCAGACCCGAGACGTCGACCGTCGCGTCAGACGGCTCATTTCAATAATAAATAATAATGATGACGATAAATAAATATTGCGTCCTCGTAACGAAAAAATAATTCGTCAACCGGTCGCCGCCTATGATAATAATAATAATAGGTACTCTTGATAATCTTTCGTGATGCACAGTTGATGACGCAGTAAATACCCCGAATAATACTCATCGTAATCATATAATATTATCGTAAATTCTTCTTTTTTTCTGCCAAAAGGCTTAACGAGTTGTTGTCGGTATATCTATCCAAATTAATATAGCTGAATATATTATATGCGAATACAATACTATTTATTACATATTATTATGTTGTAAAATACGTGTCTGCGAGATAGTTATTATGTATTTTGCACGCGTCTAAATTATCACGAAACACCTTGGATAAGTAGGTGTAAGAAAAGAAAACAGAATGTGGTTTAATATCGTATACTTGTATCATAATTATAGGAGAGTATAATATTATTATTGGATTTAATGATTTAAATATACATTAATAATACCAATAAGAAATGATAGATCTATCTCAAACGACTTATTTTTTTATTAAATAAAATATGGAGTTAATCATTTGCGTAGGTATTACTAGTACCTACAGTACTAGTGGTTGTGGTAGGTACCTCCAAATCTACCTACTGTTGTAGTAGCAGAGTGATGTAACATTTTATATATGATTTTAATTTTTAGTGTAGTTGAACATTTAAAGGAGAGAACACGAAACAAGAATTTTTGAATTAAATTGAACACGAACAAATGGAATAATTTTTACTGCCTCTCAGACAATATTGACAATATAACTATGTATGTACGACATACTTGTTTAAATGATTAAATGGAAACTAACAGATAGAGTACCTAAAGTTTATATTGTGTTAGACGAATACAACGGGGATATTTGGTGTTCTAAACTAATTTTTGAAACCTAAAAAACATATCTAATATCATACAAGTGGTTGACTCATTTCTGATAACTCAAGTAGTCGATGGTTTAAAATATTGATTTAATTTTAATGTATTGAACAACAGATAGTACAGTGGGCTTGTACGAACTTTTCCGCCTTGGCTATATAGTTGCAGTGAAAGTCCGCCAAATTTTTTTCTCGTCCGATGTCTACTTTTTTTCTCGTCGGACGACAATATATAGGGACTTGGTTATCTGCTGAAGTTTGAAGTTTGGTCTTTAATGGTTTTATTGGTGGTCGCCTTGACCCTCAAGGTTATCTGTGGCTCACACTACACCAAAGTTCGTCTGACGAATACCTAAACAATTTTACAATTGGTCCATTAACATGCTGTGCCATTGATGCATACTTACCTGTTTTGAACTGTCTAGGAAGTCTAAATACACCCGATCTCTACGGAAGTATCACATGCTTACCACGTCTACTGGCTGTCTACTCTCGTTTAAAGACATAAACGCCGACAACTGGTACTTGCTCAGCTTTACAGTTTAATGTAACTCTTTGAACAGTTTATCAAGGTACCTCCAAGACGCTAGCATTACTAAATGATTCATTCGTTCTAGTATTATCTTTTTTATATTAGCCGTCGTTCGTCAGTTTCCATTTTCATTTTCGCATTTACCGTGGTGGTGCAAATTATTGAACAATTATTTATTATTATTTTAAGGTTACCCGAAAATAACATTTTATGCACGAGAGCATGGTTGGTATGAAATATAAACGATATAATGATGACAAACGTATAATGTTTTATTCTAATAACTTATGTGTAGGTACATATTATTAATTATACATTAGGTTAATTTTTAATAGATATTTATTATTTACCTATATGATGTACTTTATTTTTTTTTTTTACTTTTAGCATTATAGCAATGTTTTTATTTTAATGTTTATTTTAAAACTTCAAAATTTTGATTTTTATATTTTATTTGTATATTATATCCACTACTATTGAATCTATATACTCGTAACTAGTATTATGGTATAATTAGTATGTATAAATACTGAAAACAGTAATATTAATATTATTATACATTGATGTTGGCTAATTTTAGTAATTTACAATATTTTAATTTTTTTATTAAAACACTGAGTGCACTGACATCCTCTTAAGAATAAGTTGTGTAAAGTACTCGTAGAAATACACATATTATTTATTATTATACTCATTATAGTATGGTTGTGAAACGATTCTGAGTTATCGTGTCTATAATATAAAATTAGTATCAGATAAAATGCGTTATGATCATTTTTACATGATTTAAAAATAAATCACGTTTAGATGCGTATCATAAAAATGCTTAATTTTAGAATTCTTAATTACCTATATGAAAACCCACATAGAGCACTAGAGCTATAACGAGTCATTATTATTTTTTGTCTTAAGTATTAACCACCAAAAATATAAATATTAACATTTTTGTTTTAAGATCGCCAAATCATATTTCACTTCTTGTGAGTTAATATAATGATACAGATATATTTCAGTAGTCATAAGAAATACATTCAGCTGTATTAAAGTTAAAGTTAAGTATGATGTTTATTATATAGTTGTAAGTCACTCGTAACAGTCGTAACTAATGGATAATTTAAAAAAATGACTGTTGCTAGTTGGAAGGCTAGTTAATAATTTACTATCAGAAACTGGGATAGATTTAATTGGAGCCACTGCAGCGACTATACAATTAATGACGACGCATGGGTCGTTTGTCCGTCGGATTCCACTGTAGGAAATGATGACGGAGGCGATCCGGCATTAAGCCATTAAATCCGGAGTGACTTATGGATTAAGATAAAGATTTCTGTATTGTGCAATAAATATTTTTTGAAATTCTTTGTAATACATTTTAAGTTTCTTTGAGTAAAATAATATGATATTAAACATTTTTTATAATGTATAAGAATAAATTTAAAAATACGGTTTATTTTATATCATATTATTTTCATCGATATTATTATTATTTAATTAGATAAACGAAAAGCATAGTCAATACATAAGTTTATCACAAAGTATAGCTGCTAATTGGTTATTTACATTAAAAGTGTTGAACTCAGCATGCATATGGTACGCACATATACCAAGTATACGAATGGAAAAATAAATATCAGTTAAAAAGGCGTACTTTGAAAGTTTCATCTACATTTTTATAAAAAATCAAAAGGATAAATTGTATAAATTTATTACGACTTGTTACTTATGTAGGAATATGCGCTTCAAAGGTTAATATATTATGTAGGTATATTTGCACTATTATGGAACATGTCAAAATTACTAACTGTGTGCGAGGTGTGGCGTAAGTTTAGTTGTCCCAAGTATGTGTCTGGTGGGCGGTCTTGGCTTGTGCACAAATATCAAAAGAAACTTGTTTATTCATAAGATTACTCAATACACATTTGGAAACAGTTACAACTTTAAAATAAGCTCACATGGTTTGCAATGTTTACATGATACATTTTCATTTACCAGTACATAATTATTAATTACTTATTTTAAAATAGGTACAGACTACAGACTTACGCTTATTGTAGGCTTAGAATTTTCAACGAAAATATTTTTTACTCGTATGGTTAAAAAGTGTTTATGTAATTTATTACTCGTAAAATAATTTAATACCTTTGTTTTTTGATTTAAAGTGGTGTACTAGTACTTCATATAGTTATCATGTTTTTTTCTAATAGAAGCAATTACCCGCATTAATTTTACGAAAAACTACTCTAGACGAACATCTAAGCTAATTTAACGTGTAATGAAGATTCAACATTCAATGACTTTTTTCAATAATAATTATTTATAATTGTTGTTATTGATGATATTTTAAATTTTTATTAATTAATGATCTTTAAATTGCGTTCCAGTTTAAATATGTAGAGTTATGTACCTCTATTACTTGATATATATGACGGCCTGAGACTGTTATCTTAAAACAGTTAAAACCATTTTAAGCGTTTCATTTAAATTTAAATAATTGTTTTAACTTAAACTTTTTAATTGCATTACGTTGACGCAAAAGAAAAAAGTGGAGTACCTTGTACCTATACATATGTGTTAATATTAGTACTATTCTTATCTCTAGATTAGTATACCCAATATTATTTGTTTAATGTTGATATACATATAGAATAATATAATTTATGTTAATATATTTTTATTCCAAACACTAGCGTCTATTTTCCCAGGATTCTTATTGTGTAATGAATTATATTAAATTTTACAACACAATATATAATCATAATAATCAATTAAATTTTTTTTTTAAATATTACAATATCAATTTATGTTAGAAAGATTTATTTTATTTATAAATTGCTTACAACACATATATTATTACTATTACTCGTATTATTAGTTTTCTGAACGCCTACACGCCATGTACAAAACCGGCGAAGACGTTCTGCTGTTTTGAAGACGTCGGGTATATCTACTTCGTCAATCAGTAAGATAACAATAAACTCATTGTAATAGATATTATGTTAGATTTAAATTAAATGGTAAATCATTGTGTAAGATGAAAAGCAATTCTAAGTTAAGAGGGAATACTGTCTTATCAGCTTATATATTTATAAGGATGTTTTATATTTATTTAAAGGAATGGGCACTGTTTCAATTAAATGTACTTAAAATATATTTTATAATTTATATTTTCTGAAAAAAAGAAATTTTTGATTTTTAATTGTATTTTTGAATACATTTTCAAAATAAATAATAAAATGTTCACGTTTAAATTTTGGCCCAGTGATGAATTAGTGTGGTATATGGTT